ATATAAAAGATGAATATATAAGATAAAAATTATGATTTCTTGGTGGTGTAAAGTAAATCATGTAAAAGACTGTATAAAATAATTGGCGAGGCATCTTGGAAACAATGAAAATCGCAACTTCAACTTGTGCCAGCTGTGCTACGAGCTACTTCACATCGAACGTAATTATGCGAACCAGGTTGGCGAACTTTTAATTAAGGTCCACCGGCAACACAAACCACTCTTAAGAATTTAGTTGAGCTACCGTCCGATGGCGAACAAAGGGATACCCTCCAGCGTAGCTGGTGAAGTAAATAGCCAGAAGAAGCATGAACATCCTCACCGAAAGGTCGAGACTTCGATAGACATAATCGGCTGATTAATTAATCCGGTCAAGTGGTCAAGCCCAATTAAATCTCACTGAGCCGATCGACTCGAAAATATCATGACGATCGAGGCAATCTCTACATAAACGAGTTTCTTCGTGGAGAAACTTGGTTCGCGAGATGCGTCTAATCCCTTTGCGCCTCCTTTGGCCTTCTCCATCATCGTTCCCTGCCGCAAGCGCGAGGGAATCGGTTTGGAAAACAAAGTTTCTCCCGGTTTTCCATTCGCTGCTCCCCGCACCATCGCCATCCGTCGTTTTCTCGCTCCTCTGCACCCCGCCGAGCACGGAAGCGTCCCCGAGAGCCAAACAGCCGGTGCACCCTTCTTCCCACGGGATATTAATTTTTCGGGAAGTTGCGCCGTGCCGTTCCTTTTTTTCCTCTATTTGCCTCTCTTCCTTCCTTTTTCGGTATTTTTTCGCGAAATGCTTCGTTTTTTCATGATGACTTGGATTTCGCATGATTACTGCAAATCTTTATCCTAATTTTTCTTAATAAACGAGATTATCTTCTAATTATTTAGACTCTAAAGCGTTTTAATTCTCTTTTCATAATATTTTGAAGACAATTTTCTCCTAACTGGTATGAAAAATATTTTTCAATAAAAAATTGAAAAATCGATTTTTAATTTATAAATTGATTTATCTAAAGCTTGTGAAATGTTCTATTAAAATTTATGTTTAAGTCATTAAATTGTTCACTATATTCAATCTCTTTTCGTAAAAAAAATCCTTTAATTTGCACGCGATATCGAAATGAAAAATTTATCTTCTTAATTTTTTCACCATTCAATTGCATTGCATAAATAGATAAGCCTCTTGTATCAACTGGATATTTTGTGAGTTCTCTTGGTCATCATATAATTTGTTCCACGCGTTTTAGCAACTTTGATAGAGAAGAGATTATCTTACACAATTTACCGAGAACATAATCATATCAAAATATCGATCGGCAGATGTGCAATTCTCTTTAATTTCGTTCAAATGCTATCATTTTCACTGAAACAATTATTTCGAATGACAAAATAAGATAAATTGATTTTTTCATGAAGCATAACATTTGAAACAAGAAAATAAATAAAACAAACAAATTACTCAGTTTATAGAACTGGATATAAATTCATAATAAAATATCATATTAAACATTAAGATCTAATTTAGATCTTGAAAGGCATTTCCCTATTTAATTATATTTATATATCGATCTAGTGTCATTTATTATTATCCAAAAAACTTATTAGATATATATATTATTGTTATAGTATTTTTTTTGATAGACACCTCTTTCTATCTTACACCGACAACCTGTTCGGTGTAATAGTTCCCAGAAAAGAAGTCATTCACCGTGAATGATCTCGATTGATCTGAGGAACAAAGATTCTAGCAGTCATGAGAGACGATAATAATTTCAGAGCACCTGAAGAGAATGCGGAAAAGACAGAGGGGACGTTAAAAAATGAATTGCAAAAGAATCGAGAACAAAGAGGAAGAGATGGCGACGGAAGAGGGTAGGGTAAACACTAAGAAAAGACGCTGGGGGTCACACAGGCTCCCATAGTAGACGTCGATCCGTGCGTCTATGAGGGTAACTTTCTCGCGGTTCTTGTGCGGTTATGAGAGAAGGCGGTGGCGACTCGTGTATACGTCGTACTTTCGCGTGTATAGACACACACCGCGGGCTGTCCGTTTATTCAGTCGGTTTACACGATGCTGGCTTAAGAAAATAGCGGGAGGCCCCCGCAGTGCCCTGGGAACGTGGCCAAGCTGATGTCTTTCTCGAACTCGAGTTCTCAGGATTCGTGAGGGAAGAAACATGGACGTTTCGTGGCCAGTTCAAAGTAGTTTAACGACAGAATATTCGCTGTAATTTTGCACAGCAATGTAAAGCTATGTCCCTATCGAAGTAACAACGAGAAACTTTTTGTTAATGTTTCATGTTTCTTAAAAAATCGACTGTTGCTGAAAGCAATAGTCTTGATATTCCTTTCTTGATATTCCTTAGTGTTGTTTAATGTTGTTAGTAGCAAAAATTGCTACTAACATTGTTTGTCATATATTTCTAATTAAATTTAAGCGGTAAATATCAGTAAATAAAGGAAAATGATTAATCAATAAATTATAATAGAAATAAAGTTTCATTAATATAGACATTCAATTACCTAGTATAGTTGATACATAACAATCACTAATAAAAAAATATACTTATTTAATAATAATATGAAAATAAAGCAAGATAACAATTTAATTTTCAAATGAATGGAAGAAATATGAGTGTTTGGACTTCCACAAAAATATATATACAGGAATGCAAAAAAAAGATGCTCAGAGAGAAATTTCGAAGGCTACTGGAGCAGATATAACAAAAAAAATTAAACGGAAAAAATTTGATTCGCCAAATTCTACAGGGAACGAAAAAATGCATTCACTAAAAAAATCAAACTAATCGTATCTACATTTTTCGTTTTTTTCTATTTATTATTATTAAGAATCAGATACACTGCATAAGATTATCTTTCTGTTGTTATTGCTTGCTTTTTTAAATATTGGATACTTTGATATTAGATCTTTTAAGTCTTGTATTGTATGATGGACAGATTGATTTGCGACAGTTATATTTTATTGCTATATATTCTTCATTCATGAATTGTGTTATTTATTCTAGTACTAAAAACCTATAATTCACGTATTATAGATTTTCAGTACTTGCGATGAATAACGAAACACAGCTATAGTTTACAAGCTTCCGTTATTTTTTGTTTTTCAAGCCTCTTGTCTTTTTTTTCGAGATCTCTTCGCGCGACTCCACGCAATGCAAAGGGTCGCAAAGACAACAATAAAAAAATGGAAGAGTAACGGAAGAGAGGAGCAGGGAAAATACATGGTCGATGTGTGCGTTCTATACACGCTACCATTGACGGTGATTGAAGATCCCCCGTCGACAAGCACGTCGAACTCTTTTCGGCTCTTTCGAAGTCGGCACCTGCTTTCGCTCGATCGACAACGACGACGATGTCGGCCTTTGTGATCCTTATTCCTTGTGTCAGCGTATCCCTCGCAGTTTTCACAAGCTGCATATACCGCTCGTGAAAGTACATATACACGAGAGCACATGTGTGTGTGCGTTGACTGCGTGTAGTAGCGACAAATGAACGAATTGCGTCACAGGGTATGTCGATATTGAATTGAGGAAAGGAGCGGGG